TCAGAACCTATTGATGTGGGGTCGGAAAATGTAGCTGACGATGAGATCTAGTGGGGGATTAGAGTGTTGAGCTTCTAGAAAAGCTTGGAAACCGTAAAATAGTCACCAACTCGGCTCACTGGGGTGCACTACTATTGGAGAAAATACGGTATGCCAAAAACGTTTTTGCCAAATTTCTCGCGATTGCGCGTCATTTTGCAAAAACTAAATACAGCATCGGAATCAGCCTAAAATTCTGCATCCGATGGTCTAGATCTCATTTTCCATCTCCACATCACTCATTCCTTGTGAGTCCAGAGTCGAAACTCTGAAAGTAAATCAAATGAAAGTAAGTAACTCTGACGAAACTCTGAAAGCAATTACACCCTACACAAGGCAGGGTGTAATTCAAATATCTGATGAATGTTGGTGCCTAAAAGGTAGATGAGAAAAAAAGAATTTGTAGGCGATTAAAATAGAAAATAGGTGGCTTAAGACAAGAGATCAAACTTTCAAACGATCAGAAGTTGAAGAAAAATTGCAGAAACATTCTCGAAAATGAAATTGGACTAGTGTCAATTATTTCTTTTAAAGTCTTCTAGTGAAGCTCAAATAATTTACGGTGCAGGAGACTCGGCACGATTGGCGACTATATTTGTGGGCTGGGCTTGATGAGCGGACTCCTATTCAGTGGATATGGTGTGCTCAAGTCCGCATTTGGTGACTCTTCTGTTGATTTCTTCAACCATTACGCTTTTCTCGAGCTGCTCGCGATCCCTTGTGGGATTTGGGCGATCGGGAGATCGATTTTTTGGCTATTTGATCGCAATTTACATTGGCAAACGACCACCAGCAAAGAAACTTTGCCCTGGTGGCTCACGATCACCACATTTCTCGCCTCTTTTAGCGTTTCATCAAATTTTGGCATTGATTCTACGATTGCCCTCAAATTGGGGCCCACTATTGTCGGCTGTCTAGCCTATGGATTCAGTTTGGCAAAACGGACAACTCGTGAGTCGAGAATACCTATCGTAGATACTGTAATAGTACCGCACCCCCATAATGACGGTGCGGAGTGTTGCGTAGTCTAGCTTTGAACGCGTTTTTCTCGACACTGGTTTATGCTACAATCTTCGCTTAGGTATTAAAAAATAGCTGAAATGCAGAGCTATTTTTTGATGCCAAAGACGCATGTTTTGAAAGAAAGAGCGTTTTGAAAAAAATGAAATATTAAAAAGCTTTTGCAACTACTTGACTAGACAAGGGGATGCGGTCCTATTACAGTATTTACGATATGTAGACAATGTGGTATAATGGTACGATATAATAACGATCTATAATATATTATAACGGTACGGTAACGGTAATGATATAATGATATTTTAACAACATTTACTTCCGAATAGTTTTTTGTTTTTGACAAGATTTTTTTTTATTGGCTATAGGGCAAAATAAACAAAAAATGTCCTATAACTTTGGAAAGAGCCTTAAATTCAATGCAAATTGTATCTGCTTTAGGTTGTTTAAACTTTAAAATTAATCTCAGAGTCTCAGAGTTAGTCTCAGAGTCTCAGAGTTAAATCTCAGAGTCTCAGAGTTAGTCTCAGAGTCTCAGAGTTAAATCTCAGAGTCTCAGAGTTAGTCTCAGAGTCTCAGAGTTAAATCTCAGAGTCTCAGAGTTAGTCTCAGAGCAACCTTGTCTTGTTTAGATCGAAGATCGGGCTGTTTATCGCTTGAGTGGGCAACAATTGCACTACGACACATAGAATCTCAGTCAAAAACGTTACAAGAATCATCGACATCATGAGGAAAAAGAAGCGTTAATTAGAAAATAAATAAACTGTTTAAGTGAAATACTAGTCATTTTCGCATTTGAACTTATACAATTTTGTTTTATTTACTCATTGCTTAAACATTATAATACAAGATTGAGGTTCTTGTAACATTACAACAACATTACATTACAACAACTCTCTTGTCTAGACTGTGCTCCTCTCAAATCAGATCGTGACTCAAATCAACTCGTTCAAATCCTGTTGTCTAAAAAGTCCCTTTTCTCAACGCGCCTTTTTAGCTTTACAATTCTAGTATGCTCCCGTTTCGTTCTACGGAAGCAAACTCACGTCCGAAACGTCAATGGCTCTGGTATTACCCGTCCAATTGTCCATTCTACTCGATCTTCTACACTCCGTACAGCTACAGCTACTCGCCATTTGGCAGGTTGTGAAAATTGCGAAAATCAGTATAGGGTCAGGCCATAACCCATTTTAATTAAAAAAGCAATAAAAGGCAGATTTTTGGGTACTAATCAGTTATACACCCCATCAAGTACGGTCAGATACCCCCAACTCACGCTTTTGTGATAGAGCTAAGTTCAGGGGCGCCGAATTTGTATCAAGAAGTACATACTGGGTGTGATTTTTGGTGTGATCGCCAATAGGTGTACAACGGAAAATTGCCGTATCACGGTCAATTTTGCCACTGGACACCTATTGAGAATCACCGAAAATGCACATGTCTAGTACATACCAATAGTCTCGAATCTTAAATTATCTTAGGAGATTTTATTTGGAGCTCGTTGAAACATTGGGTTTTTTTTTTAACCCCATATTACAAATTTGGGGGAGGAAAGAAAAGGGGGAAAAAAAAAAAAATAAAATTATAATTTAATACTTTTAATAAAAATTGTTTGTATATTTTAGTTTGAATTTATTAAAAAATATAAAAAAAAATAAAATTAAAAAAAAAAAAAACACCTCCACAAAAAAAAAAAATTCAATTAAAAACAAAAATTAAACTAATAAAAAAAAGGAGGAAACTCATTGGGAAAATTATTTCCAAATTTTATTTTATTTTTTTTTTTAATTATATTTTTTTTATAAAGAAAAAAATAAATTTAAAAAGAAATGGAATTTTGGGTTTTTTTTTGGTGTGCGTTTTAAATTTTTAAATTTGAGTTTAGAAAATCCTTTAATAGAAAAAACAAAAAATATTTTGAAAGTGAATATTGGGTTTTTTGGTGGGAAAAAATTTTTTTTAAAAAAGGATTTTTTAAAAAAAATGGGGGTGGAAACAATATTGGAAGAAGAAAAATTTCCCCCCCCAAAACTTTTTTTTTTTTTTTTTTTTGGTTTTTTTTTTTTTTTTTTTATTTATTTTTTTTTTTTTTTTAATTTAAGGAATTAAATAAAGTTTTATATAAAAATTATACTATAGCTATCTACTGTGCACCTCCTAATACATGCGCAGCGCCTACCTGAATAGCTCGGCTTTTAGGAGCGTATACCATATTCTCACTATTAGTATGGCGCTGAACGATTTTTTAACTCTCTTCTGCACGATTCTTTCCACGCCTGGCTAGCCTGGCTTTGGACGGGAGGTGTATAATCATCCTTAATGCAATGGGGGTGCATAACCGACCAGTAGATTTTTGTTTCTGGTCTGACCAGGTCTAGCTTCTTTTGCCAGTGCCGTTATTTGAGTAAAAATCGTACAACTCTTTGCCAGTTTTTGCCGTCTGGACATGTTGTGATTTTTTTAGACGGACACACTTTCACCGGAGGACTTCCAGCATAATAGAAAACAATTATGCGGGACCTCACTGCACCAGAATGCATTTGATCTGCATTGTTCTGTGACTTCAATAAACACTTTATTTACTAAATGAACTGATTATTTTTCCCACCTATTGTTTTTCAACGTAAATAATAACGTTTTCTTTTATAATACGCTTTCTTCTTTCTTCTTTATGCAAGGTAAAGTCCCGCCATAACAATTGGAATTATTCAATCGTAGCCTTATCTAAAACCTTACACAAGAATTGAACCTCGATTTCTGACAGAATTTTCTCTTATCTCTGATGGTGATGGGGTTTTTATTGCTTTTCTTTCTCTCTGTTTCTTTCTTTTTGGTTCACTATCTAGCGCACAGCTTCAGTTGACCAACTTGCATAAGAATTCTTCAGGAGCGGTTTTCAGAAGATTTCCTAAAATTCAAAACCCAATGACAAGCAGTTACTTAAAAATACTCGAAACTTCGAGTGTTTACAAGTTTTTTTGAGGATCAAAAACAGAATTTTCTGTATATTGGTAACAATATTGGTGTCCTATAGATATTTGCCTGATATTTGCCTGTACTCTGACACTTCTTTTTTGTCTTCTTGCCTGTCTCAGTCACAAATATACATAGTTAGCCCATAGCTTTTTGTAAAATTTCAAACTTCAATCGAATTATTCCATCAGAGGGAAAGTGTTCTAGTCATTTCCCTTTTCTTATCCTTGGCATCATTTTTTCCGTTTTTTCCGGCCATTCCCCTCCTCTCTATGTTCTCCACAATCGATGGGCTACAATATGCGCTCGTTTTTCTGAATTCTCTTCAAATCCCTCCATTCCCTAATTCCTTTCTCTGGCTATCATTGAGTTTCCCAAATTTTCCTGAATATTTTTTGGAGCCCCGAGTTTTCATAGCGTAAGCAGGGGCGCCTCTTTGCCCATTATGCATTGTATATTGATTTGATTTTTTGTGATTTTACCAATCTTTTGAAATATAATAGAAAACTCTTTGGTTATGGTCAAGACAATTCGTTCCTGTCAGCTCTGAGGGTTAAAATTGTCTATAATCGTCAGGCAACAATTAGCATTCTAGCTTTATCTTCTTGACCGGTTCTTTATAGTTTTCTGTCTACACCCTTCTTTATAACCTTTTTCTTTTGTAAGAAATCAAAGCAAACTTGATAATTTCTCCAACAATTAGCATTGATTTTCTGATTTTAAAACTAGAAAAATATCAATCGTTTTCCTTTTTTGTTGCAATCTCATTCTTTAAAGCCGTCTGTTTGAGTTTCATAGTCAAGTACCAAAAAAATGAAAGTACTTACAATTTGTGAGCCTCAGCTATTGCAAAAGCTTCAGCTTCAGCTACAGAAATATATGTTCAAATCTGAAATTCACTTCATTCAGTGACAATCAGCTTCTTTGAATTTTATTATCACCAAAATACTTTCAATTGAATATTTGCAGAGATGAGTTTGGATTTCACGGTTCGTTTGTTGCGTGAGAACAACAAGAAAAGATCGACGGTGTTCTCACCAGCCGCTCTTGGATGTGCACTGGCCACCGTGCACTATGGAGCTGATGGATGGACGCAGAGAGAGTTGAATGATATTCTCTTTCGAGGTGGGTTATAGAAAGAGCTTGAGAATTAAAAGTGAGTCAAAATAATAAAAAGTGTCTGACTTTTACCCAGGACATTGACCAGAATGATCACGAAAAGGCTTTTTTCTGATAGAGAACAGTAATTCAAAAATATTCGGAAAAATTTTCTTCTAAATGTTTGTCACTTTTTATTTTTAAAAATCTAAAAGAAATCAACTTTAATATCCTCTTTTAATAACCACATTTCCAGGCCATTCTCCTTGTGATGTCACCAAGTTCTACACTGACATCGCCGTGGAGATTTGCCAAGAGAATCCGAACATCAAAGGTAAACAAAAAAGAAGCAAATTGTGTAAAAAGTTTTAATTAAATTATCAAATTATTTAATAAGTATTTTAGCCAAGATGATGAATCATCTACTCTTGAGGAAAGAGTTTCAAGTGAACAAAAAATGGCAGAGTGAAGTCGGTTCTCGATTCGGGGCCACGGTTGAGACGGGAAACTTCAAGGCGGCTCATGAGTTGGCTAGGGTAAGACCTTTAAAAAGCTATCAAGCTTGAGACATAGAAAGACATAGAAATAGAAACAGACACAGACATTTTTAGCCATAGAGAATATAAGTGCTACTTAATGCATTGCTACAGAATAGCCTCTTTTCATTCTTTCCTGATATTCTAGCCTCGTCTGACTTGCTTTTGATTTAGCTTTAATTCTAAGAAACATTAACCATATATTAATCTAATCATTCTAACAAACTACAGATTCGAATCCAAACATTTAGGGCTGTGAACGAGCTGAGCCCATGCGAAGACGATCGGAAAATGCCAGGAGATTGTGTCGGCTAGCAACTTTTCCACTCCGAAAAACCTGACCTCGATTCTCATCAATTGTGCCTCATTCAAGGTGAGCCGCCGAACATATTTTAAAAAGCTTAATATTAGAGATTTCAAAAGATATACCAAAAGATAGCTGGTTGACGATCTCCTTCAGTGACTATCAGTTTTGGATTTGAGAATTTCATTTACCCAGCCACACCGTTGTTATATTAGCCATAAATTAATCTAACCATTCTAACAAACTATAGAATGAAAACAGAAAAAACAGTGCTCAGACACATTATTGAATGTTGTTGTTACTTGATAAACTGTTGCCTTTTCCGAGATGTCCCATAGTTTTGTTATAGGTCAAAACTGGATATTTGAGTACTGACACGCGCGGATTAGTTTCTGAATGCTAAAAACCTTTGTTTCATGGATTTTTAATACCAGGAAACTAAAAAAAACATAACCATTCGTCTTCATTTTCAATACAGGAGCCGAAACGCTTACTTTTGACGGTGTCCCATAGTTTTGTTACAGGGTGTAAACCATAAATTAATCTAATCATTCTAACAAACTATAGATTGAAAAAAGAAAAAACATAGTGAAAAAAACGTTTGTAATAGAATATATCAGAATTCGTATTAAACATTTTTTATACTAGTGACGTATCAATAGTCAATATCAATAGTCTATGTTATAAACAAACTTAAAAGACTTAGGAACATAAAGAAGAGTTATCAAGGGTAGGTTTTAAGTGTAAGAAACGATTTTCTAATAAAAGTTTCAGGGTCTCTGGCCAAGAGGGTACTACAAGCCGAGATTTTTCGACTTCTACGGTGACAACGAAACGAGAAAGGTTTTATTTAGCTCATAAAGTTCATCTAAATAGTTTTAGGTATTGTTTCTTCAAAAGACGTTGAACAATACGTTGTGCAACTTCTCGCAAGCCGGTGTTCAAGTTGTCGGGATCTCGTTCAAAGATTACAACTACAAGCTGTGGATGTTCCTACCGGATAAGGTGAGTAATAATATAGTAGTTTGAGTTGCGAACCGCTTTAATCTTATCATCGGGGATGACTTTGCTTCAGAATAGCCGAGTAGCACAAAAAGGTTAAAAGGGTTTCCCCAAAACGCTTACAACATAACAAGAAAATGCAGCATAATGTTAATACTCGTGATAAGAGTACAGAATGGATTGATACTTCGTCGATGGCGACACAAATGTTAGTAAGTTCTTTCTACAATGTTAAACCAGCTATCTAAAAAGGATTTAAAACCCGAAGGCTAGCATAAAGTGAATTGAATTTATAATTTTATTGTTTATTAGTACAGAACCAAAAATGCAACGGTATCCATTACAAAAACAGCATTCGCATGAATAGAAACATCAAAGTCCCCCAAGAAAGAAAGCAAAAAGCCCAACCCCAACCCCAAAAAGGGCCAGAAGCTTTGCCAAAAACCCCAAAAATTTCGGGAGAGGAAAAAAGACAACGACGCAATTGCAAATAGAACGCAATAGAGACGGATGACCCATGACAGCCCCAATATTGCAATAGCAAACAACTCAAAGCAAGAGTTTTGGATTTCATTGAAAGAGTGGATCGATTCGTTGAACGCGACTTACTTGGAGTATCTCATTGAGGGAGCCGAATGGAAGGCTTGCCATGTGAGTTTGATACGCATAAAATTTTATGCTAATAATGCCTGATATTACTCAAATAAATAAAGCAATCACTTATTTGATAGCATCTCAACCTAGAAACCTATAATTGTATCCAGCCATAAGGGTTTAGTAATAAGATTCTAAAGCAAAAGTTTATTTTAGGTGAAGTTCCCCAAGTTCAAGACGGAGAACCACATTCCGACAAAAAGGAATCTCCAGAATCTTAAATTGAATCAAATCTTCACTGAACGGGCTCGTTTGGAGAAGATCTGCCATCCATCGACGTACATCACCGACATTGTGCACAAATGTCATGTTGAGGTTGGATTGGGAAGAAGCTAGAGTATTGGGCTAGTAAAAAAACGGGGAATTGACGAAAAATTGGCAAAAAATCCACGGAATTCTCTTGTTTCAATGAAACGGAAAATTCGTGATGAATATTTTATGAAATCGACCTTTAACGGAGAGTTTTCCGGGTATATGGGAGAAATTCTTAGGTAATGTTTAATGAAACGATTAACGTACTTACGCTAGAGCTAGAGTATTTGGTTGGGAAGAATGAACGCCGAACTTTAAAGACACTTTTCGCACGCATAAAGCCTTCTTTAAATGCACGTTTTGTTTCATCAAAACGGTTTACTATTTCCGTACATTTCCAATGACTTTTAAAAGATTCCAAAAAGCTTTTCTTTCGTGGTTTTGAGTAGGTGAGTAGTTCAAAGCATTCTCTACACCACTCAAAAGAAAGTATCATGTAATTAGAGAGGCTGTAATAAGACTCATTATTACTAAAGCTGAACTAAGATATGCATGGCTTAGTCTTTAACATGAGCATATCGTCACTGGCAGGATCAACCAGATATGAAAACAAGCGATCTCTCAAGAAACGTCAAGCTTCCGCTTTTGACACCACGATCATAGTCACCAAACACAAGCAACAACACCCTAAAGCCTGAAGACAGCTAGAGGCGCACGTCGCTAGCCTTTAACAGCTAAGGTAGCTCACCTAAGTAGGGATTAGCTTTATAGTAAAGTTACCTATAAGGTGTAGAAGAGATTAGCCTATTGTTCATTAAAAATATAATAAACTGACACTTAAACCATAGCAACACAAAAAGCAACAAAAAGCATGTCTTTTTTTTCAAAATTCCAACATTTCACATGGACCACTAGTTATTTTTTGTAAAAAATGAACTTGTTTTTAGTTTTAGTCACTTCTAAATATGTATTTAATTACAGATTGATGAGGAGGGTGCAGAGCCGGTCGTTGTTCAGCATCACGCTTACTCGGGCTCTCGTCTCACCAATGTCCGGGTCAATCCATCATGTGGTGGTGGTGGACCAAGATGTTTACGTTACGATCAAGATGGACAAGGCCAATTCAATGATCATTCGAAAGAGAACAGTCCAACTCCATTCATCAATTCTGACACAAATGCGCCCATCTTTGTGCCCCGGACATTGACACCAGCAGCTTCAAAAGTCTCCATGAAAGCCCCGAAAATTCCGATTGCACTGCTTGGGAACTGGGTGAACACTCAGCCAAAACCGGCTCAAAATGGGACTACACCTCAGCCGACCAAGCCATTCAAGTCCACCCAGCCAGTCCAATCATTTCAACCACAAAAATCAAAACAACGCTTTGGCCCATATCGTCCTCCAATTGAGGAGTTCATCGCCGACCACCCATTCATGTACCTGATCACTTTCCGTGATAAGGTTCTGTTCACTGGTACATATTATTAGATCCGATTTTGTGTTTCCAGTTCACTTTCTAATAACCATTTTCTAGAAATTTTAAACTAAACCGGAAGCCTCAATCTGGTTCATTCTGTTGTTTCCTTTAAACATTAATGTTCTCTTACATCAAACCTGTATATCATTATCATTTTATTGTAAATTTTATTTCTGACATTTTCTCTATAACTGTCACAATCCTCAGCTGCACTTTTGTTCATTGTTCTCTACTCGGTAAAACCGTAAATACAGTATTTTCTCAATTTTCATTTAACGAATCACAGATTCTCCTAAATTTTATCTTAACTATCGTATCTTCTGATCGCATTTACTCATCTGATCCATTTCTGATCGCATTTACTCATCAATTCATTGAAAATGTCTAAAATGTGCATTTTTTTTTCCTTGCCAAATGGCTCAATTCTTGTCATAAACTAGCCCCTTTGTCAAATAAACACCTGAGACATTGTAAGTGTACAATGTCTCACTCAATAGTGGAGATGTCTCATTCCTATCTATTTGCTGTACTTTAAAGCAGTGAATATCTATCTTTTCCGCTTCTAATTGCTTTTATATTTATAATTCTTATAATTCTAATTTCTTCTAATGCCTTCCTAACGAACATAATCGTTGTCCAATAGACACTTCACTTTGATGTTCTGCTAATTGAGTTTTGCCTCATCAAAGTTTATTTGGTGTACTATAAGTCTGATACTGTACCTTATCTCACTTATAGTGTTTTACTCGTGTTCCTGATTAAACAAGGTTGCTTAATCCGAATCTGATATTAGCCTATCTTCGCACTTAAATGTTGTAACAGTCTTGTTCTCGCTATGCCAATGGGTAATGCCCAAACTCTTGCTTTCAAATCAAGCAAGATTTTGGTTGTTAATCGTTGAAGTTATCTTAGAAGTCGATGTTCTAGGAACTTATTTACCGTATCTAATTCAGATATATTCCCGTACTTCGAGTATATTCCTCTACTTGAATTTTGCAGTACTTATTCCTTCTTATACTTAATTTAAAGATTTTACTGCGCCTTATCCTCAAAGTTTATCCTCAAAAGCTTGTCTTCAATGTCTAGGAAACGTTACTTTTCCAATCTCTTATCTAAGCTCTTATCCAAGCTCTTATCTAAGCTTTTATCCAATCTTTCTTGGCAGTTTATGTGATCTCAAATAATGTAAATGAATGTTTTTTCGGAGTAAAACTCAATTAAATAACAATTGGCTTGGTTCAGAAGCAAAAAAAGAGAAAAAAAGTTTGACTTGAGTTTGAGTTTGATCCAGGAGACACCTCCCAACATCTCATCTATTCCTCATCGGTCGTACAAGCACATGACTTGTCTGGTGTCTCGTCACAGCTCAAAAAGTCGATCAGTTCCTGAAAATTACCAGATCTAACATCAAAACATAGGCAATACAAAACAACCGTTAGCAGTGCATGAATTCATAAACATCGGTTTTTCCTAGTCCAATTTACAAAGCTAATAAGGTTAAAGTTTTTTTCCGTTCGAAATTCTAGAGAGCAGGCAAAAACTTAGAGTTCAATTTATCAAAAAGTTTTAAGTAGTTTTAAGCAGCTTCAATTGTGATGGGAAGTTTCAGTTATCATAGAGTCTTTATATTAGCCAAGTGTTATCAAGAGTTTATTCATAGAGATCAAAAAAGCCATAGGAAAATATAAACACAAACCATGGGAAGGCGCAAAACACTTCTTTTCTTGTTCCTCCAGCTTAGCCACTTTTCCGAGAAAATTGCTGACTGGTTATCAAGCTCGCGAACATGAGCAGATCCCTGACACAAAGAACAATTCACTTTGGAGCCTGAAATTCATAAGTTCGTGTAAAAAAAGCTTTAGAAAGAGAAAAATATATGAAAGTTATCAGTTAGTCCATCTATTTAAGATTAATATTATTAATAATAGGTGTTTTTTACGAACCGAGATTTGTAACACCACAAAGACCACCCGAGGCGTGTTAGTGCTTACAAAAGTTTTAAGTGGACAGGGTTTTGCTGGTTAACTCTTATTCTAGTTATTTCAACAGGGAAGCACTTCACATCCTAGTTTTTCATGAGCACACCCTAGCATTTCTGAGCTTTTCATGAGCATCTCTGAGCTGGAGGAACAAGAAGAAAAGTGTTTTGTGTTTTCCTATGGTTTTCTTGATCTCTATGAATAAACTTTTGATAGCACTTGGCTAATATAAATGCTCTGTGATAACTGAAACTGTGAAAAGTGAAAGCGGCGCGGCGCGCTTCTAAAGCGTAGATGCGCTACCGTAACCCGCACAAAAATTCCCTTTTGCGATTCTTTTCATTTTCCTTCATTCCATGCTGGAATCGGAAACTTTGTCCGGTTTTTATGCCGAGTGCCGCTAAGTTTTCTTCCGCCTTCGTAAAATCTGTTATATTTTTGTGGCGCGTTTTTAAAGTACTTTCTCTCCCCTCGTTCGTTCCCTCATTTTTATATTGTTTGCCCATAGTTTGTGGTTTAAAATTCTAATACGGTTTTATTTCGTTTTCTTTTCGGCTCCTTCCACTTAATTGTTTTGAATCCGCTCAGACACGCCGTATAAGCTCAACTTAACCAATTCCCTTTAACTAAAACGCAAATCTAAAAAATCTGCTATGGCGCGATCTTCTTGTTACTTCGCCTTAGTTTCGTGTCAAATCATTTTAAAACAGGGTTGCTAAATCTAAAGGTGTTAGATAAGAGAGTTAGTTACTAACTCTAATCAGTTTCTTTGAATTTTATTGTCACTAAAATACTTTTAATTGAATATTTGCAGAGATGAGCTTGAATTTCACGGTTCGTTTGTTGGCTGAGAACAACAAGGAGGAATCGAGGGTGTTATCGCCGGCCGCTCTCGGATGTGCACTCACCACCTTGCACTATGCAGTCGATGGATGCACGCACACATGCAAAATTTCATCGATAAAGGTCAGCAGTATTTCATAGGTTATTTTTAAAACGGGTACGGGTTTCTCTCTTGTATACTTTTTGAGAAATTGCATTTTTGCGATGCGCCATTACTTATGCATACACTTAATGTTTACGAGAGAAGTTTTCTGCATGCAACGTTTAAGTAATTGCTCAATGAATTTAATTTGTCTGTTTTCCTCCTTTCTATAAGTCATTCACGAATTTTCTTACTCAACGGGGAAAAAGCGGCAAAGAAAGCCTTTTTGAAATTTATTTTGCAATCAAAGTAACATCGATCGATTCATATCGGGCGTCCGCTTTGTGCATCGTACATCCGGGCAAATTGACGGCTGTCTCCGGTGCGGTGTGTCGAGGGTTCGAACCCCGCTGCAGCATAACTTTTTTGCTTTTTGAGAACAATAATAGAAGTAAATTTATTGAGGGTTATAGCAATTTTATGCTGTTATTTGTTGCTCCGGGCGTGGCTCGGCGCGTCCGCCCTGCTCCTCTCCGGTGCTCAGTCTTATGGATCCCTCCCTGGCCTCTTCATCCGGCCAAAGTCCACGTCGACGGTCGAAAGAGATGCTTTCCAGCGTCTTCTTCAACACTATCGTCTGGATGTATCCATGCACATAACAAATAGCAATGGTGATAGGCTGCACCCTGTAGTATCCCGCGCTCCAAGAACAATAATAAAAGTTTATATAACAATAAAAATGTATAAAAACCCAACAAAAAGTAATTCAAAGCAATTAAAGCGAATGTAAATTAAGGCAGAACTTATACTCGGATGAACTTATACTCGAGACTTTAGGGTAACAATAACAAACAAACAAACAACTTTAAGCCTTCTCATCACTGGTTTTGCTCTTTCTTTCAACTACTTTTTGCAGTCTAATCTCTCATATCAGACAACGCCAAACATTTTTTCTTTCATTGATTCCTCCAAGTTTCATTTTTCCCAAAATTTTAACTTTTATTTTCGATCTTTCCCTTCTTCCTTCCTTTTCCGTTCTTTTTCTTTTACTAAAAAGCGTATACTTTTCAACCTTGCGCGCCATTTTCCTACTGAGGTTGGCTTGACTGGAGACAAACCTGTCTATGATTAGAGCCGAAACAGGATCACTATAAAGATAACTACCACTTACGATTAGTTCTTATACTTTCTCCTTCAACTTTTCTTGTATTACTTCTCTTATTCTCCTTTCTTGTCTGGGAAAACAAGAGTCCAATAGCTCGGGTTGAGGTTCATTTCACCATTTGAGAATGATAGTATAAGTTTTTTTGAGACCAATATTTAGCAAATCTTTCAGATTTGGACTCAAGGTTAAACTCTACACCCTATGGATGTATTTTTTATAATATCGGCTCAGCTCTTTCTCTCATAACTCGATTGGGAGCCAAAAAGCTCAAAATTTCGAAAATTGTGAACAAAATCAAAGTTTTCGAAAAACGACTTAACCAAATGTTATGGAAAGGCACCTATAAGTGTAGAATTTAACTCTGAATCCGAAGCTGTAATCAAATTCGAGAAATATTGCTTGTGCAAGAAGTCTTGTGCTACCATTCTGCAAAAGCGCGGCGAAATGAACATTTCCCAATAGCTCGATGGGTGGAAGAGCTGCCCGGAAAGCGGAAGGTAGACGGTACAATCCTCCGCTCAAAATCTTTTTTCCCAAAATTCCTGCTTTCTTTTCTTTAATGCATTCAGTAAAACAGATTTAGACTAGTCCGAAAGATGCATCGAGGAGCGGAGACGGCTCGTGACAAACGCAACCGCTATGTCAAGAAATTCGATCATTTGTCGAAGATGTTGCAATTGTCGAAGGCAATCCAGACACGATTCAAGCTCATCCCCGATAGGATGCCGAACAGGACCACGGTGGCCGGGATTCGGGACACGACTCTGGGAAGAATTCGAGCAGATGGGAACCCTGTTGGTAAGTTAATGGTTCGCCTATTTTTCACTGAAAGAGAACTGAAAGGAAATTGACCACGTAAATTTTCCAGTCTGTGCAACGTTGTGAATTTTTCAGGTGGAAACGTCATTCGATTCAGTAATCCAAGTCCAGGCAAGTCCAAGTCGAACTTTTCTCGAATTTGCATCGATCCGAAGGGTGTTTCGAACAAGGCCAACCCGCACATCCCAGTCTCACAGGGCACCGTCAATGCTGCGGCTAACATCCAAAAAGGTTTAAAGGTTGGTGACGAGAAATCCAGAAAAACCTATACCCAATATTCAGGTGACTGGAAAGTGTTGCTCGTTGTCTCGATAGTGGCCTCTGGTATCCGAATCGCCAAATCGATTTACGATGAAGTCGACATCGACAGCGAAATCGAAGGCCTGGAGCACATGATCGATTGCTTGGAGGAGGATTTGAGAAGGTGCTCCCCAAAGGAGATGGCTGACAAAAAAGAGGCACGCGACTTCGCTAAAATCCTTCTCGAAGACGCCCACGACTGCAAGCGCCACCCTGGAAAAAAAACGATTCTCACGGGTATGTGCATCGGTGGAGAATGGATTGGAGGAGCGGCTCTAGGATATGCGGGTGCCCAGGGAGGAGCAATGGTTGGAGCCGTTGGAGGGCCTGTGGGTGCCGTGGCTGGAGCCGTTACTGGTGGTGTCCTTGGAGCGGTGGCCGGTTCGGAATTGGGCGCGTCCGCCGTGGAGAACTTTCGCTGCGATGACGACGGTATTGCCACCGAGTTACAAAGTTCACTGATCGACTTTGGTGAGAAAAACCGTGGCGAAGTCCTGCCCATTGGGGGGAATTTCTTCCTGGGCAAGGGTGTGGAGGTCGGAGCACGAGCAGCCCTTTTCGAGATGAAGAACGAAGAGAGCAACAAGAGCCTGTCTTACGGAAAAGTGGGAGCCAGCGCCGGTGTCAGCAACAAGGGACTCGATGTCAGTGTAGAAGGCAAGGTGATGTGGGTTGAGAAAGAAACGGTCAATGGAAGAATGGGCGTGGGCCTGAATGTTGACACAGGAGTGCAAGCAGATAAACACGGCCTTGAAATGTCGGTCCTAGGCGTTGGGTTTTCTGCACGCGATGACGGCTTCGGCATTAAACTTCCTTTTTTCAACTACACCTGGAAAAAGTGATGATTTCTTGCTACCATATTTTTATTATAAAGAACGTTTGGCATTCTCTTTGTGTATGTTTTCCAGGCTTTTATGGAATAAAGCGTAAATTACTCGATATTCAAACTTGTGTGTTATGCTCGTCAGATCGAGTCACTCGTTTACCTAATTTCTTTGACCAAAGAGTTCTTAACAAAATTTAGTAGGAGTGAACGAGGCAAGCGTTCGCTCTTTGAAATTTGCGACAACCAAACGTGAAAACAAGCAGGTGAGACTATGAGAGGAACTAATGCCTATCGTTTTTTAGGATTTTAAAGCAATCTGTGGAGAATGACATCCTCAGCTGATTGGAGTTGGAGCACGTTGCTAGATGGATACAAAGAGATCAAATTGAAACCGAATGTTCACTGTATCGATGTGCTCGGAAACAAGCAGCAAACTGGTGACACGAATACAGAATGGCGACGGCTGGGCGAACGGATTGCTCAATACATCGACGTCCATCAGCAGAGCGCCGTCCTCGTTTCTACGATGAAACTCGAACATTTTCTTGTGAACGAGCAGAGGGATAACCCGGACTATGGTAACTCTACTGGCTTTGAGCACGAAGGGAGACGTTATACTGTGACATCATTGGCCTCGACGCAAATCGATCAGATTCTACCTGATGTCTTCGAAAGCGAAGAGTTCGTCTTTGGACTGAATGCCTGGTTGTGTTTATTCGAAGGACCGGAGACCTCAGCCCAAATGCTATGTCGAAAGGAAGACACACCGTTCGTTCTTGAGACAAAACGAGTCATTTCGAATTTGAACGTTCTCACGGAGATCAAGCTCAGCCTCGAGTGGCTCATGGCCGGCTCGGATGGATGTGAGCTGTTGTGGTACAATGTGAGAGTCTGAGCACCTCTTCATTTTTCTTTCATCAATTGTTCAGCATGCATTCTCTCATTCTCTAGATACTAATCTCAACGGTAAATAAACCTTTACAATCATGCTATTGAGTACCAAAATACAATACAACATTTTTATTTGAGTCGCACGCAAGTCACCTTAAGAAACAGAAATTAATTAACAGAAAAAGAGCGTCGCGGAACTTCGGTTTCTATTTTGTGGGAAGCTGTCCTGAGGGAAATGCCCCTGTCTAGGCCCTCTATCCAACAACACCAACCCCAGCTTATTTTACCCACAGGCGGCTGAGATCTGAAGCGTCACAGACAGAAGGACGGACAAAATGGCACACAGCGATACAGTAACTGTTTTTGAAAATTCATTTTTCTGTGAAAAACACGGGTATATTGGTTCATCCCAGGTACAACCCTATGAATAAGCTTATTATCTTGTTCATGTTGGTAAATAGGGTTACCGAAACACTTTTGAAAACCACGATTTTTTGATAGCTTTATTTGAATATTTACATAGGTTCACAAGAGCAAAGGGGCAAACCAGAGATGCAGGGGCAGGAGAGCCGATATTTTTCCCAATCGCCGAAATCAACAATGGGGGAATTATTTCGCCAGAGAAACTCGTCGATAACTACTATATGAGTAAATTTTTCCCCCGATTCTCCCCAGAAACACTATATAAATGACCAGAATTCCCCACTTTCAAGAGTGGAAAAATGGAAACTTCTCATCGTATTCTGCTGTCGTGACTGGCTCTAGCCCTGGCTCAAGGGGAAGATGAAGTAGAAAAGTTGGTTTAAACTGGTACTATTCTTACATATTTCCTTGATAAGATTCTTGGATTTATACTTTATATTGGGTTGGTGAATTGAAAACTGCCGGACCCGAACTCAAAATTATTGAACATGGCTTAGCAGAATTCATTCCAAATAATTTCCATTATTATTGACGACTTCTGCCCATTTTACAGGCAATTTGCGGATTCCTCTTTCGTAGTAGGATTTTGGTTTGTGTGCGAGACAAGTGTGAGACTCAAAAATCGGGGACTGGGATGTCCCAGTTTGAGCACTTTCTTCCAAAGAAACCCATTTTGATGTCAATAGAAAGTTGTAGAGGAATCAAAATTAGGCTTATAGCCGGAGATTTCCAAAAAGATACACTTAGTAGTTTCCACTTGCCAAATGCTAGTTTTGTGAAAGTGCTTAAATCCGCGCATTTCTTGAAAACCAGTTTTTGGAATCGTTCTGAAAATTTGGACATAAGCTTGATTTTTGATTCCCACAACTTTTCTATTGACAGCAAAATGGGTTTCTTTTGAAGAAAGTGCTCAAACTGTCTCACATGACAATAGCCCGCAGTTTTCAATTCCACCAACCCCATATATTGAACAACTCAGAATATGAATTATAAATAATATTAATTTTAAATGTACAATTTCCACCCAAGAGTTTCCCCATTCGAGTACACGTTATTGAGTTTTAATTATCCATAAACGTTGTTTCCTTACTAACAATAGAGTCCCCAACACGAGCCATTTAGAATTTCCATGGCCGGAAGCGTTTGCTTCAAAGAAAATCGTTCCTAGTGAAACAGAAAAAAAACCTATCCTATAGGAGACTGAGGTCAGCTTGAAACTAGCAACCTGTGCGGTTCACCATTTCTCTTAGCTTTCTTGGCTTTTCAATAAAATGCGCTGCCAATTTCTCCTATTTTCATCATTCCTTTCCAGAGTCCCGTCCGCCACTCACCTGTGCGAATGTTCGCTGTGCCGAGGGGCCTGTATCGAGACGCCAACTGGGCCAAAATGCACGACAATGAGCACGACAGAGCGTCCAAATGAAAATAGGGAGTGACGGAATTACGAAAAATTAGAACTAGAGAAGAAAAGTATATTCAAGCATCTCCCTTTCAAAACTGTTTGCATGTGCTGTCTGGTAAATTTCTCGGACACTGAAGTTTAGGTGCACAATAAAAACCGTTTCCCCTATCGAATCCCATAGAATTTTGGGCTCAACTCGTGAATGATTTCAGAATGTGGTGAGAACGAGCACTCTTTGGGTTGGGCTACGTGTGCTTCCTCGCTGTGAGGGAACTTGCGGGTAAACCCGTCACTCAGCCCGTGAGTTTCTTTGTCAGAACGGAAAAAGAGTGGCTTTTAATAGTCCGTATAGGCGAAGCAAAACTTGCTAGGTCAAGCTAACAGCTAACAGCTAACAAAAGCAGCAAAAGGATCTTAAAACAATATAGATCCTGCAATCGGCGATTGAAACTTCTTAACCAAAAGAAAAACTTTTTAACACTCAAAGAGTGGCCGACAACACTTTTAATTGATGAAAATTTCAATATTTTAGCGGAAACAAAAAATTAAATTAAATTAAGTAGAAAAATAGTAGAGAAAAATGTATTTAAATTGATGCTTTCGTTTTAAAGAAATTCCATTTTTGAAAACTACGATAGGAACGATATTGGAACGATATTGGAACGATATTGGAGCGATATGGAAACCATATTGCAACCATATATTGCAATCATATTGTAATCATATTGCAACCATATTAAAACTATATTGCAACCATATTGCAACCATATTGGAACCATATTGCAACCATATTGCAACCATATGCTGCAACCATATTGCAAATCCATATTGCAACCATATTGCAACCATATTGCAACCATATTAAAATCCATATATTGCAACCATATTGCAACCATATTGCAATCATATTGCAACCATATTGCAGCCATATTGTAAATCCATATTGCAATCATATTAAAATCATATATTGGAACCATATTGCAAATCCATATTGCGTTCTCATATTGGAACCACATGGGAACCATATTGCAACCATATTGCAACCATATTGGAACGATATTGGAGCGATATGGAAACCATATGCCGTAAATCCATATTGCAATCATATTGGAACCACATATTGGAACCATATTGCAAACTATATTGGAACCATATTGGAACCATATTGGAACCATATTGGAACCTAATAGCTAATAGTTGCACTCCTTAAATCCTCATAGCTCAAGTCGTATCCCCCCAAATCAGCCATATTCTTCCTGTGTTTCCATCCAATACCTCTATTTTCCCTCTCTTTTAGGTGTGTGCACCATGGAGTGTTTCCAAGGCTGGAGGTGCAAGCCGGGTTTCGTCCGTTGTCAGGCCGTATGAATGTATCCCCTCTCACTGGTTGCCCGAAAAAAAAATGACTAACCAAAGTTGACTAAACTTTTTCCTTTTTGTTGTCTGTAAATAAATACATCTTGGTAGATGACTAAAAGTTTTTATGATGAAGCAAGCTTCTGAGTTTTTATTATTAGACCTCGGTTATCGGTTTTGACATACTCTTGAACCGAATAGTTAAACAGCAACTTAATTCACGGAATTCTAGTTCAATAGATAATCTAGGCCTACTCTATAACCAATCCAGCTATAATTTCTTCTATAATATTAAGTTAGCAACTAGCAACTAAAATTTGTATATAAGCGATTTTTCTGAGTATACAAAAAAATGACATTGCCTGTTATATATTATTTAATAGCTTGAATCAATGCCAACAGTATCCGCCAGAGACAATGATTGATGCTTGAAATGATTGATTCAACTTTAGGGTACCTTTAACTTGAGCTTTTCGCGGTTTGAAGTGATGAGAATTTTGAATTAGCTGAATTAGCTTACACAAATTAGCTGACAGTGTTCTTCCCTTTCTGATTCTGTTTCTGGAAATGATTGATTCTGGAAAAGAAAATAGAATTATGGATTTTTATTTTGCGCAAAAAAATTGATAGTCTAACTGTGAAATTGAAAAGAAATGGAGACAGATCAATTGTTTTAAAAACTCTTCTCAATGCTAAGCAAATTGTTCTAGAGATTTACGAGAGATAATCGTTCTAGAGATTTACAGATTTTCATTTTTAGATCTGCACAAAAGAATGCTTCCAAGGCTGCAAATGTGAGAAGGGTTACGTTCGTTTCGGATTCGCTGGCAAATGCATCAAATTGACAGACTGTCCAAAGACGATCAAGCCTACTGTGTAAATTCTTTCTTTAAATTGTATTTTAACTGTCTGTACAATGAATTTCAGCAACAAAGTCACTAGTTTTCAAAACTTTATTGCGAGTAAAAAAACTGGCAAATCAACCAATTTGATGAAAAAAATGAAAAAATGAAAAAACGAGCATTCGAGTCAAGAACTACTTAGACTTATGTGAACACACCGCCAAAGCTGAAGGCGAATTTCTGAGCGATTATTTCATGCTGTTAGGCGCTTTTGTTGAGGATTTTCTAGATTACTCATTCGTATTTTTAACAGGCTTGTTCCAAATGACGTCATAGGCCCGGAAGCACGTTTTAGAAAACAGTATCGGCTTTGTAAAGCGTGGATACAGTGACTTTACAGCGTCGAGAAAGCAGACAATGTTTCCAAAAACATGCTCCCAGACCTATGACGTCATTTAGAACAAGCCTGTTTTTTTTGTTAACAAGAAATCTCAATTACTCACACACTCATTTTCGAGCCAAGCAAATGCTGATTTTCAACAAGCAGCGTCACAATGAGCGTCACAATAGGTTTTTGGTAACAAATCTCTTTTTTAAATTTAAAAACAAACAAACAAACAATCCAATACAATAGGAAAAGCCTACTTGTTTGTACAGGATGGCTCAAAAGTACTGTAAAAGGGAATTTCTGTAACTTAATTATATTTTCTGTATGGGATGGGTTGATGGTAGTGTATACAATGCCATCCACTTTTATATTTATGGCTTCGTAATACTGAAATTATGGTCATTTGATTCACGTTTCTATATGCTAAACTAGTTTATTCAATAGCATTTTAGTAATAAGGAAAGTTATCAAGATCCAATTATTACCGGAAGCGTGAAGAGGAACAATACAAATGCAAGGACTTTTCATCCTCGAAGCAAGTAAAACTTCTTGGGGAAATCTCGGCAAAAGCTTCTTTTATGCGGTCCGGT